AGTGAACAGAGCAGGCAGTATATATATCTTTTACATAAAGAAACAATAAATTTGTGAATAATCGACAGGACAAAGAAACACAGCTGTGGGGTACACAAATAGCAAGGAATCAGCAGAGTTTAGGTTTCAGGTAGTAGATTAGCAGGGTTTGCTTACAAAGGCTTCTGGCCCTGAATCCCCAGCTCGGGTGCTGAAGATGCAAGGAGAGCACCTTCACATGGGAGATTCATTTCCTGCTTTTGGGGAACAGAGATGGGAGAATCAGAATGCTCTTTTTGTTTCTCAAGTAACTTTAATTCAAAATAGTCAATATGCTATTGTGCGATATTTGCGGGTGACCTGCCCTGGGCCCCAACACAAGTGCATTTTAATAATTTTAACTTTTAAAATATATTTTAAAGGCTGGCCCCGTGGCGGAGTGGTTAAGTTCGTGCACTCCACTGCAGGCGGCACAGTGTTTTGGTTCGAGTCCTGGGCACGGACATGGCACTGCTCATCAAACCACGCTGAGGCAGCATCCCACATGCCACAACTAGAAGGACCCACAACAAAGAATATACAACTATGTATCGGGGGGCTTTGGGGAGAAAAAGGAAAAAAAAATCTTAAAAAATATATATATATTTTTAAATCATTACTAGAGTCAATAGATGTAAAATTCTCTGACAAATGTCTACAAAAATTTCTAAATGCTTACTCTCTGTTTCTACACTCTTCTCATCACATGGAGCAGTAAGGGTCTGCAGATAAGCACCTATCGTGGACCACACTTTTCATAACTTTCCGCAAACAATTCCTGCAATACACCACCAGTTTATAGTTTACAGGCTCCATTTCTTATAAATTTTTAGAAAAGGGATTATGCTTGCCCCTCTCAATTTCTTTTAACCTTCTTCTACTCCCCCACAATTAGTCAATAACTACTGAAAATTAATTAGCAATCCCCCAGGCAAATCTTTTTAGTAGCGTGTCGTATAATTGGACCAAAGCTAATTAGAACTGCTAAAAGCTCCTTCTCAATCTTGGCCCTAATTTGGGACATCATTTCCTTCTTACTATTGTTTCTCCCAAGGTTTTCAATTCAAAGATGATCACCTTGTTCGTGAATATCAGGTTCCTCTCCCTTCGGGGCACGAGGAAAGCTGCATTTCTCAATCCCATTCCAGCTGTGCAGGACTGTATGCCTAGATCTAGCCAACAGATAGTGAGAAGTCCTTGAGCCATTTTCCCATTTCTCTTCCCCAGACCAAGGACAACAAAACAAAAAAACAAATAAACTAAAACAAACACACACCTCTTAGTATTACATCTGCAATACATGGTGAAGGCTGCCTCAGTTGTCCTGAGTCTCTGAATGTCTAAAGCTGACATCACTGCAGACCTGCACAAAAGGAAGCCTGAGCAAGGAATAAACCTTTGCTGTATTCAGCACCTGAGGTTTCAGAATTAATTGTTCCTGTAACATGACTTATTCTATCCTGGTTAATACGGTCTTTTTAAAAAGGAGAATGAAGCAAGAAAAATAGACATCAGACAAATATGTAGAAATGGGATAACTGTAGTAAAATCAAAAAGTAAAAAGAAATAAAGGGTGACATCCTCATATATCAGGAGGACTAAATTTAGTCGAGGCTAGGCTAGGGAGTCCAGGAAGACCTTGAAGATGTGAAACCTAAGTTGAGACCTTAAGCAAGATACAGAGTTATTTGAGAGAAGAGGGAGAAACAGAACTTCAGGCAAAAGAAACTGAGTACGATGGCCTGGCAGCTGGGAAATGAGACGACTAAAATTTGGAAAGGGGCCAAGCTTCCCTTCATGAGCTCGGTGAGCTTCATGCCCATGAGCTATCTACCTTGACACAATGTCTTTACCTCTTGCTCCTCAGTCACAGTGTTAGACTCCTCTGCGGTTTTAGTTCTCTTAGGACACCTCATCAATCTGGAGAACACACGTCCTTCTGCAGGACTCCTGGATTCACCCATTACCTGAAGAACCTCAGATTTACTGCATGCCTGGCACACAGAAGTGGCTAATAAATAGCTGACAACTGACAGTGAATAAAGAATGAAGGAATAATTGAAAGAGGTAGTTTGCATGGATCCACAACATCTGTGTAGTATATTCTCAAGCAAAAACAAAAAATCATGTGAGAGCTATTCTAAATTTTTATGATTTTCTAAATGGTGTTCATATTGCTTCTCTCCCAAGGACAGAGGAATATCAAACTGATTCTAATCGACTGTGGAGAAAGTCAACATAAACTATGAAAAAAAAAGTCAATTTTTAAACAGTAAAAGAAATGTCATTTTGGGGCTGGCATGGTGGTGCAGTGGTTAAGTTCGTGCATCCCCCTTCGGCTGCTTGGGGTTCACAGTTTGGATTCTGGGTGTGGACCTAGCACCGCTCGTCAAGCCACACTGTGGTGGCGTCCCACATAAAATAGAGGAAGATTGGCACAGATGTTAGCTCAGGGACAATCTTCCTCACAAAAAAAAAAGAAAGAAAAGAAATGCCATTTCATTACTGCCCCAATACAATGAAAATTAATGGAATAATAGCAACGGTATGGAGGTGTTCTACTAGTCGCCTTTTAAGGACTCAGTCTCCCCAGAAGTATGCATTGGATAGCACTTGTATGCCTAGTCTTAGGGGCTTGGTGAATACTCTTTAGAGTCTGTGCTACCAATCTTGAAAAATACAAAATCTTTAAAAAATCACTATCCTCAACATGCTTAGCTGGATAGACTACAAGTTACCAGAGATTACTGCTGAGTCAAAACAGTGTATATTGATGAAAGCTAACATATTTGCATTAGCATACTCACTTATTTTCTTCAAATACATATAGAAAAATCAATTTAAAAAACTTAGTCTCTGAAATTCATAAGTTAACTTCCAAACATTCTTCTGTATTACTATTTTATACAATAAATTTCCTTTTTGAAATGTACTGATAAATAAAATTGATGTAAATTTTGACATACGTATGTGAAGAACAGAAAAGTCCAGAAAACAAATAAACAAAGAAGAGAGGCTCTTTCTCCTATAAGTGTTTTAAAGTTTCTGTTCTTTACAAACTGGTTTGTATGACCTTTCAGATTCTCTTTTTCATTGAACAGGAAGCATTTACGGAACAACTACCTTGACAGTCTATCCACCTCTGATCCCAAAACTATCTCCACTGAGGAGCATTTGGGTTGTTTCCATATCTCGGCTATTGTGAATAATGCTGCAATAAACATGGGAGGGCAGATATGTCACTGAAATCCTGTTTTCATTTCCTTTGGGTATATACCCAAAAGTGGGATTGCTGCATCATATGGTAGATCTATTTTTAATTTGTTGAAGAGACTCCATATTGTTTTCCATAGTGATTGAACAAATTTACATTCCCACCAACAACAGACTTCTCTTTTCACCACATCCTCCCATGTTTATTGCAGCTTTGTTCACAACAGCCAAGATATGGAAACAACCCAAATGCCACCGAAGGATGACTGAATAAAAAGGATGTGGTACATGTACACAATGAAATAGTATTCAGCCCTGAGAAAGGAGGATATCCTCCCATTTGCGACAACATGGATGGACTTTGAGCACAATGTGTTAAGTAAGATAAGTCAAACAGAGTAAGACGAGCACTGTATGATATCATTTATATGTGGAATCTAAAAAAGTTAAACTTGTAAAAAACAGAGAGTGAAATGGTGGTTACCAGGGGATAGGAGAGGGAGGGGATAAGGGTGATGGTGTTTAAGGGTACAAACTTGTAATGAGTAGTAAATAAGCCACAGAGATCTAATGCACAGCATAATGAATACAGACAATAATATTGGACTATATTTACGTAATGTGATAAATACCGCTGTATCAGCAATCACATTATAATACATAATGTATCAAAGTAACACATTAAACTTACACAATGTTACATGTCAAATTTATTCAATAATAATAAAAAAAGAGAACCATCTCCAGTTTAAGGAAGGTCCTAGTATGATGGTTACAGAACGGATCCCAATTGCTCCTTTTTGTAACACTATCACACTTGCTCTTCCCACCAAACTATTTTTTTATTTTGCTTTCCATATTATTTTATTTACGGATAACCAACAATGTAATCTGTTTTCAATCTTTAAAAGTCATTCCATTTGACATTTGTCCTGGATATTATTTTCTGATCTTCCTTGCTGATAATTCAGAAGATAGTTTCATGATTATATTTTATCTTGACCCATTTTACATTTCAATTTAATGAAGAGTCATCCTCACGAAATGAGACTCCTCCTTTATGAATCAGTATCAGATTAATCATTTACGCAATCTTCAAGATCAAGCCAATGCCTCTGCTTGTGGCAACATCTGATCTACCATAAACATGCTCCTCTCAGACAAAAATCACTTGGAATGATTATAGTTACTATATCCGTTTTTATCAAAATCAATGAATTTGACCTTCTACTCTACAGTTGCAGTAATGCTGAATCCTACTCTAATAAATTCTTCTTTGCCTTTATATTTTGCTCTGCCTGGCTAGATTCCAGTTACACGAAGGCAAAGACAGATGTAAGTATTCCTCAGCATGAAGCGTGTCAGGAGCACTGGGAAGAAAACACTGGCCCAGAGCCACTTAAAGTCGAGTCACTGCTTGCCTGGATATGCTGGACAGTTAAATACGGGCATTATCCCTCAGGCTTTCAACTCTCCTCTTCCTTCTCTCTCCGAATTACCTATGTTAGTGAATCATCTCGCAAAACATTGCTGAAAACATCAGCAGAATTCCATCGCTATGTATCTGCCATATGTAATAGCATGACATTCATTTATTCCAACAACGGAAATTTATATTCTGTTCTGTACTCAGGGAAGAATATTTAAAAGCAGCTGATACATATGGATTCTCAGAGTAATATTCAATTTTTCTAAATTCTCTCCTTCTAAAAGAAAAATCCCTAGTAACGTTAGGGAACAGAGTTAATGAAAAGATTATAAGAAATTACCTTATGAGAAGACAACTTTTACTAGAAGTCCTCAAGGGCCTTTCCATCTTCCATATGGATTGCAGTGTAGTTCTGCCTCAGATTGAAAGCCTATAATTTACGCCTGTGTAGAGAAGATTAAATGGATTTCTCTTTAACTTTAACAACAACATTTTTCATCACCATTTTCTTATCATATTCACTCATCAATAATGTAAGATGACTGAGGAGAGTGGAAAGCTAACGTCTACATTTGACAATGCAATGGATACTATACATTTTAAGAATAGGCCATTGGTATCTTTCCAAAGTGTATTGAATGGTCAGCAGTGACCTTAAACATCAATTTTTGTACTAAGTAAAACAGTTTGAGGTCACCTTCACCTAGGACTAAGTGCAACTTTAAGGCCCAGAGATCAAGGGGTTCCAGTCGGTGCAAAGAGAACTAACACCTTAGTTCATTATTCTTCCTGAGTCACACGTGAAACTTGGGCTCAGAAAGGATTCCAGTGGTGCTTCTTGTTTTGTACCATGTCTTCAGAAAGAAAAGTTTCATCACAAGTGAACTTTAGCCCCTACCCTTCCTACTCCTAGCTCTATAGATGAGCAAGGGAGAGACAGAAATCTGGATTGTCAATTCTATAATTATTTTAAACTAGATATAATCATGCCTAAAATTATATGGTGACCTTCATTTGCAAAGTAATTTAGCACACATCTCACATTAGATTCTAACACTTACTAGCAGACACACACACTTAGAATTTCAACAAACACTGTGCTTCTCGTCTTTTTTTAAAATCAACTTACATCATTACTTAAAAGTAAAAAGTATAAATGAAAAATTCTCTCCACATCATTACCTTACATCATCACAGACACTAAATATAAAGCAGTAATAAAGCAAGACAAAACGTTAATTCCTTCTACTAGGCCAGACATAATCCCTGGCATCTCTCTCAGGAACACCAAAAAGGGATGAAGACCAAAGGGCTGGGTTGCATGGAATATAAGATAGAAAAAGCAACTCTTCAGAGGCTAGAATTAAGAGTGATATGGAAATAGTGCATCAACTTCAGCCAGACATTAAGGAAATCTTCCACACTATATTGTGAATAAAGTAGAGAGATGAGAACCAAGTATTTGTAGCTAAATGGACATAAAGCTAGTTGAGCAGCAGTATCCACGGCGTGTGAAAAACCAAATCCGTGTGTAAGAGAAACAAATGTCTACCACAAACCACAGGACTTAAAGCTCAGACCCAGACTGAGATTAAAGCATAAAAGGCCTATTTATGAATCTTCTAGATGAAATATACCTGAAAGGAGCAACTCGCCAAATCAAGATTTTAAATTATTTCCCAGAAATCAAATTCTGGGGTGAAATCAATCCAATTTTACTAAGAATGTGTATAGTTTCTCATTTATTCTTTTTAATCAAGCAGAGGGGAGGCTAGGAATGACCTAATTTGATAGCATTTAATGTGAAAAGCCTTAATGACATCAGTTGACCAAAATTTCAATGAGTCAGTAGGATAATGCAAATACCAAAAAATGCTAATGTGGTCATGAGCTACAAGAAGAACATTTCAAAAGAAAAGAAGAACACAGTGTTCACATCTTTGAAAGAGAAAGTCTGAACTCAGCACAGATAAGGTGACATTTGGAATGTCACATTTTTTCCCTAATGACTGACATTTAAAGAGGTGGATGTTGGCAAGAGACAACAGTACTTCTCAAAACGTGTTCAACGGAATATTAATATGTTACAGAAAATAAGGCTACTGTGATCAAATAAGTTTGAAAAATACAAGATTAAACATACGCCATTTTAAAGACAGTGTTCTTGGACCCAGTTTCCCTCGGAAAATGCCCAGGCTGGTATGTGTTGTGAAGCTCTAAGGAGGTAGAGCTTGCAGCCTTTCACAGATGAATTTGACATGGAACTAGTGTCACAAAAGGCAGACTTCGGGAAACACTGATCTAAAGTATGTTCACAAGGTCATGTACCAAGTGATCAGAATTTGAAAAGCATGCTCTTTGAGGGTTTTTTTTGGGAAAACTGGGCATTTTAGATTGGAAAAGAATGGACTAAGGAGAAGCATAATGAGTCAGTTAAAATAGAGGATGTTGATTTGTTTCACTATTGTTTAAGGATGTATAAATTACAATCGCTGAGTGGAAAATACAGGAATACGTTTTGGCTTCGTATAAGAAAGATTTTTTTTTCCGAGTAAGATTGGCCCCTTTTAGTAAGATCCACCACCAATCCTCCTCTTTTTGCTGAGGAAGACTGGCCCTGAGCTAAAACCTGTGCCTGTCTTCCTCTATTTTATATGTCGGACACCTGTCACAGCATGGCTTGATAAGCGGTGCGTAGGTCCGCGCCCAGGATCTGAACCTGTGAACCCTGGGCCACTGAAGCGAGCACGTGAACTTAACTGCTATGCCACCAGGTCAGCCCCAAGAAAGACATTTTTATCATTATATCTAAGAGAGTCGTAGTCTTTCACAAGTAGCAATGAGATTTCCTGAAAGAATTCAGATTTTTCCCTAAAACCTATCAGTTAGGAAATTTGTGGAAGAACTCTTGTATCAATAAAAGCTTAAATTAGAGTGATGTCCACATTAATTCCAACTCAATGACTTGAATTACGCATAGGTATTTGTTCTCACTAATCCACCTATACAACTCTGCCATATTATTAATAATCTTAAAACATATCGCTCCCTATTTTATATTGCTTGCTAATTAAAACATCTAGTGGCTTTTATATTGGTTATCAAATAAACTATTTCTTTAGACTATCCATCAGCCACATCACTGGGCACACACACAGCAAAATTCTAGTGTTGTGTGAGAAACACATAGGGGTTGACTGTGTGATCCTGAACAGATACTGTCCTGAGGAACAGTGGTTCCCAAATGTTGTATCAAAATGGTTCAATAATAATAATAATCTAGGGGGCCTTTTAAAAATTTAAATATTTCTGCTATCCAGGCTCAAAAATTGTGAATCAAATCTGGGGTAGAACCCAGGAGTATATACTTTCCAGAAGCCTTCCAGTTGATTCTGGTGTACTGACTGGTTTCGGATCCACTCTTCTAGGTTCAGGCACCATCTGTTTGAGGGAGCTGGAAGCACACACCTGCAAGCCACCTGTCACTGTTATGGTTGTCTCTCTGAGGTGAAAAGTGGTGACAGATAGGCAACATCTAGGACCTCAAATCCTACGTCCTCAAACTTATTTCTATTCAAGGCTCTGACTCCAAACCTTTAATGATGAGCTGAGCTAGCTCACTTTTAAATTGCAAGGATGGCTTTGCCCAGACTAGACCAATTTAAGTGGCTTAGATGATGCCTCCTTCACCCTGGCCTAGACTTTGGTTCTGACGTAGATTTCCCTCGGTCCAAAACCTCTCCCATATTATCAGGCAACCCCAGGCCTATCTTTCCATATTTGTTGAATGGCATTCCAAAAATGCATAATCCCAAAGATGAGCCAAAGATAAAAGAATATGGCTTTTACTTTCTTTTCCTGAGCAGGAAGCTCCTCTTTTGAAATCACAGTCACATAGGGCATCTCCTCCCTAAAAGCTGAGTGAGAAAAGTATAAACACTCCCCAAAAGTCAACGCTATGTTCCCCCTGGAGAGTTTAAAGAGTGTCACCAACATTTAAAAGCTAAAATTTTGGTTCAAACTACCTTTCTATCTTTATTCCCTCTGATTTTGTGATGGCTTCCCTCTAACCAAAGTGATCTACGTGCTTCCTCCTGAACATTTCATCTTTATTCTAATCACCCAACTTCTCTCACCATGTTTCTAATCCTCTGGACACGAACTTTTTCTAAGCTTGGCCCCTATAAAACCACCATATTTTACACCAGATGTCAGCAAAAATTTTCTATAAAGGACCAGAGAGTAAGTATTTTTAGCCTTGCTACCATACTGTCACGGTCACAGCTACTCAATTCTGCTGTTTTGTAGCAGAAAAGTTGGCATGGACATTGTGTTAAACAGAAACAGACAGAGGCTAGACTTGGTCTGCAGGCCAGGGTTTGCAAAGCCTATTTTAGATTCAGCTCAGAAGTTACCTTCTCTGACTCCTTTCATGAAACTTCCTTTTCACTCCAATCAAGCAGAGACAGAATTTCTTCTCTTATGCTCACCTAGAATTTGTATAATTTTTATTACAGTAATTTTCTCATGGTATATGTAAAATATTTTCATGTTCAGTTGCCTCTCTAAACAGTGAATCCATCAAGGATAAAGACCATTTTTTATTAATCAGTCTCAAACAGAACAGCTCACACCCTATAGGGTATTCAATAAATGTTGACTAGTTGAATGAATAAATAAATGAGTGAATGAATAGATGATAAATGTAAATGTTAATCTGACATGAATCTTGAAAATATGAATAGGATTTAGCAAATGATCCTTGGAATTTAAGTGTAAAATATGTTAAATCTAAGGGGAAACTGTTTTTCTCCCGGAACAACCTCCTTCACTCATTCTACAAATATTTGTGGAAGAGTACATCCTCAGGACAAAGCCCCTGAGAGTGAGCATTCTGTAAAGCAGTGCTTCCCACGTTTGAAGACTAGAAAGTACATGAAGTCACCGAGCCCACTAAACGGATTGATTATCGTCTGTGCATGAAAGTCCTTTTAAAAGTTAATGGGATCCCAATGCATAGAGCAGAATGAAAGAGAGGAGTACGAAGACCAAACTGCACATGAATTTATGACCCTCTGTCCCTGTATGCTGAGTCGAGGGATTTGGGTTATTGAAGATCGTATTTTAATGAAGGCTTTTCATCTATTCTACACATCACCATCCTTTCATTAGCAACACATTGGAGAGGAAAGCGTGGCAGGGCATCAGCCTACTAATCCTTGGCTTGAGAAGGCCCCTAGGTCCTTATGTCCCCTTTAAGTACCCTTAATCTTCTTTAATTAACTATGAATTTCTTCATTTGCATTGTTTATTATTCTGTCCAATTGGCTCTCCTCATGGCCATCTGCTCTAATGTATATTTCATAAGTGATCCTCATATATTTTAGATTCCATACTACTCTGGGTCATCGTTTATGCAATTATTGCTAAAAGGACTGAGTAC